AAAAAAAAAAAAAAAAAAAAAAAAAAAAAAAAAGAAGAAGAAGAAGAAGAAGGAAAATATAAAAGAGGAGTACGTTTTATGTTGTACGGAATTCTGCTTCTTTCGACGGGGAGGTGCTTTCGGAGCAAATTTAACCTGTAAAAAATTGAAGTTAAAAAATGAAACTATTAGTCATAGAAAATAATTTTGGAGGATAATGGAAGAAAATTTGGAAATTTGAAAACCTTTCTGGTTTTGGGAGGAGATGAGGGTAAATCTGGATCCATAAGTAGAATTTGAAGGACTTGAAGCTAAATTGTGAAAAATATGGATGAGAATTAAAGGATCTGAAGCAGAATTGCAGAAGATTTTGCAAAAATAGCTGCAATGAAGATGGTGAAGAAGAAGTAGAAGAACGAAAAAAAATGAGAGCGACGTGGTTCGAACCCTAGACGTTCTAGAGGGAAAAGAACTCTGCGACCAACTGACTGACAACTCATTTTATTAGGGTTTTGAAACAGATAATATTTAAATGCTAGTTAGATAGTAGAAACAGTTTGATGTTTGTGCCAAATTACTTTCATTTTTTATGGGTTTAAGTGACAAACTAATGTAAGATTCTATATTAATTAACTATAATTAAGTGATAAAGATTGATAAACCATGGATCTAATTTTTGGTACAATAACCGAGAAGGGGGTAAATTTTTGTAATTCTATTTCCACTAATGTGTTTGCTTGTTTGGTACGGTAGGAGTCCTTTTTTTTTTTTTTTTTTTTTTTTTTTTTTTTTTTTTTTTTTTTTTTTTTTTTTTTTTTTTTTTTTTTTTTGAAAAATGACACTATATAACCAATTTTAAAATAATAGTCAAAAATTATATATTTTTTGTATATATATATATATTTATTTTGTATGTTATATACAAAAATTATACAAATTTTACGCACTTTTTCGGCTATCGAAAGTAAATAGTTTCTGACGCGGACTAAGTGATAATACTTTTTTTTTTCTTTATGAAATCATTTTTCATGTGAAAATCAAAAGGGGTAATATGACATCTATCACTTTAGGACGGAAGTCATTTAGAAGTATCTTAATTTTTGTATTAGTTGTTCTAAATAACATTTTGATATTATTATTATTATTAATCTTAGTACTTAAAATTTTCAGTAAAAACACTTGCGATTTGATAACAATATTATTACTTTTAAATAAATATTTTAAATGTTTTTCTTATACCAACCTAACACCAAAAAATATTCTAAAAGAAAATGACTTCAGACTTATCAAACATATCTTGGATCTTCTAATTTTCTACGTACCATCATCCATTAATTACTCTATCAACACTTTAAAATCAAGTATTCATAGTTCGCTACAAGCATGCAATGTTAAGTTTAAATTAACAAGGGAATTTTGAACTACTTATATAAAAAGTTTTGAATGTAAATCAATAACAAAGACGTTCCGATGGGCATATGGTTAATAGTACCAAGGTAATATAATACATTGATTTTGTACTACACATTTAAAAACCGTTCTATAGATGTTTATTATCACAGGTTTGTCAATAAGTTAAAATAATAATTGTTAGGACTAATCATTATTAATTAACATACTATAATTTTGTAAAAACTGTATGTCACCTCAATTAGATTTTATGTACTAGTTTCTTTTCTCGTAAAAGATTGTCCAATTCACTTTTCAGTATTATTGGGGCGATTTGCAGCCGTATCCTATATTTATTTCACCTTTTAATCTATATCCTATTTTTAAAAACTATTGATTTCGTAATCAACTAACAAAAAATCCGTAATAATATGACCATTATACCCCTTCCAAAACATATAAAAGATGCATCAAGCATACCAAATTCAAATTCCAAATCGCCTTCGTATCTCCTTCATCACTCCGTCTCTCCTCAGATCGTCTCTCGCAAACCAGATTTGAACCAGATTCAAATTCCAAATTCAAAATTACAAAATACAATGTAAGTATTCAAATTCATCTTCAGAATTCAAAATAGTTTTTGAAACTGGTTGATTTCATGATATATGTTTTTTGATTGATTGATTGAAGTTGTTTGACGAACATTACTGATATGCTGAATTTGCATTCTAAATCTGTTTGACGTTGAATTCTAACGTTCTAATCCGACAAATTTAAATATGCTAAAGTTTTTCACTGCATAATATGCTGAAATTTTTGGTTTATTTGCTAAACAAGCTGACTTTTTACATATGCTGAAGTATATGTCTTGTTTATTTGCTAAACAAGCTGAAGTTATTTAATTCATATTTAAAAAATTCAGCAAAACGAGCTGATGTTCCATACTACATGTATATAAGCAAATAAAACAACGAAGAAAAAATTGTGAGAACGAATCACGAGAAAGATTGTATGAGTGTTATCATTGTTTATTTGTTAAACAAGGTGAAGTTATTTAGTTCATATTTAAAAGATTCAGCAAAACGAGCTGAAGTTTTAAAGTATTTACACCTTTAGCAAAACTTCAGCATAGGTGTTGAAGTTTTTTAGTTAATCTTTAAAAAGTTCAGCAAGATGAGCTGAAGTTTTCTTCCTACACTGGGTAAAAAATAAAACATAAATTAAAATTTAATATTGCACAAAAACTTCAGCATTAGGTGCTGAAGTTTTTTAGTTAATCTTTAAAAACTTCAGCAATACGAGCTGAAGTTTTCCTCCTACACTAGGTAAAACAAATAAAATATAAATTAAAATTACATATTGCACAAAAAACTTTAGCATAGGTGCTGAAGTTTTTTAGTTAATCTTTAAAAACTTCAGCAAGACGAGCTGAAGTTTTCCTCCTACATTGGGTAAAAAAATAAAATATAAATTAAAATTTAATATTACACATAAACTTCAGCATTAGGTGCTGAAGTATTTTAGTTAATCTTTAAAAACTTCAGCAATACGAGCTGAAATTTTCCTCCTACACTGGGTAAAAAATAAAACATAAATTAAATTTAATATTGCACAAAAAACTTCAGCAGGTGCTGAAGTTTTTTAGTTAATCTTTAAAGACTTCAGCAAGACGATCTGAAGTTTTCCTCCTACACTGGGTAAAAAATAAAACATCAATTAAAATTTAATATTGCACAAAAACTTCAGCACGTGTGCTGAACCTTTTTAGTTATTCTTTAAAAACTCCAGCAAAACGAGTTGAAGTTTTCCTCCTACACTGGTTAAAAAAATAAAACATAAATTAAAATTACATATTGTACAAAAACATTAGCATAGGTGATGAAATTTTTTAGTTAATCTTTAAAATCTTCAGCAAGACGAGCTGAAGTTTTCCTCCTACGCTGGGTAAAAAATAAAACATAAATTAAAATTTAATATTGCACAAAAACTTCAGCACAGGTGCTGAAGTTTCTTAGTTATTCTTTAAAAACTCCAGCAAAACCAGCTGAAGTTTTCCTTTTGGTTCATCACTTGTTTTAAAATGAAATTCTGCATTTCGAGGCCTTAAAACCTCTTTTAGCATCATCTCGATTTGCGTGCACAGTCCGGGCGCATAACTGGAAAGACTATATGTGAAAATCTGTGAAAAATGATAAATTTTGACTATAAAATGAGTTAATTTGACCTCGGTCAAAGTTTTGAGTAAATGGATCCGGACCAGTGATTTGACGGTCCCGACGGTCCGTAGGAAAATATGGAACTTGGGCGTATGCCCGGAATCGAATTCCGAGGTCCCAAGCCCGAGAAATGAATTTTTTAAAGAAAATTATTTTCTGAAATTGTTTAGGATTTGGAAATGAATCTTGATTAGAACATGTTGATATCGGGCCCGTATTTTGGTTCTGGCGCCCGGTACAGGTCTTATATGTGATTTCAGATAATTTTGTGAAGTTTGGTGAGAAACGAAATTCGTTTGACGTGATTCGGACCTTAAATGCAAATTTGATGTTTAAAGAATTTTTGAGAAAATTTCATTGTTCTTGAGGTTTAATTCGATGTTCATGATGTTATTTTGGTGATTTGAGTACACGAATAAGTCCGTAGGATATTTTTGAGGTTGTGTGTATATTTGGTTTGGAGCCCCGAGGGCTCGGGTGAGTTTTGGATAGGCCACAGGGTGCATTTTGAACTTAGAAAAATTGCAAGATTTTTGTTGGTGTGATCAGGCCTGCATACTTCGCATTTCCAAAGCCTGGCTCGCAAATGCGAGGGCTTGGTCGCAAATGCGAACCAGCCCAGGCCTGCCTTATCTCGCAATTGCGAGTTGTGCTCCGCAATTTCGACCTCGCAAATGCGAGGGTCCCTTTCGCAAATACGAAAAATCCAGATTTCCTAAGGGTTCGCAAATGCGAGCTTCCCTTCGCAATTTCCAAGCCAGCAGAGGTCGGGGTTCGCAATTGCGAACCCCTGTTCACAATTCCCACATATGAGACCTACAACTTTTATACTTAGACGATTTTAAACCCATTTTTCATATCCTCTCAAAACATAAACACACTAGAGCGATTTTTCAAAGGCTTCTTCTTCTCCAAATCAATTGTAAGTCGTTTTTAACTCATTTTCTTCAATCATTAACATCTTTTAACATGATTTCAACTTAAAATCAATGATTTTCATGGGGGAAATTGGGTATTTTGGTTAGAACCTAGGTTTTTCAAAAATTGGGGATTTGGACCTCGATTTGAGGTCCGATTTCAAAATAAATTATATATTTGGGTTCGTGGGGGAATGGGTAATCGGGTTTTGGTTCGAACCTCGGGTTTTAACCATGTGGGCCCCGGAGCAATTTTTAACTTTTTGGGCAAAACTTTGGAAAACTCATTTTCATGCATTCAAATGGATTCATTTAGCGTTTAATGATGTAATTAAGTAACTTATGACTAAATATAAGCGAATTGGTGGTGGAATCACGAGGTAAAGCTATAGTTGGGGCTTGAATTGTGTTCGTGGCATCAAGGTAAGTGTTTGGTCTAACCTTAGCTTGAGGGATTAGGAGTTGTGTCCTATTTTCTATTTGTTGCGTGTTGAGTACGACGTATAGGCATGGTGACGAGTATCTATACGTTGGTGTTGAGCATGATCGTGAGTCTTATATTGTGATTTTCATGACTTCGTTGTGTTATTCATGCCTTGGTGAAGGTTTCTATTGTTGTGTAAAGTTTGTTGAAAGAATTGTAACCTATGAACATTGAGGGCCGTTGGCTCAAGTTGTATAACGAATTGTGAAAGTATAAGTGATAACTGAACCTCTAGAGCATTGGCTCGAGTTGTGAAGTGAATTGTGAAGTAAAGGTGATAAAGAGAAGAGATCATTATGCTGCCCCCTTGACGGGCTATTGTTGAGTTGTGAGTCTCTTGCATTGTGTTCTTAGTTGATATTACGGATGCTTAGGTTGATGATTATTTACGTTGGGTAAGGATTATGGTTATTCTCGGGGAACAAGTTTGATTATAGCTAAGGTAGTTA